GTCCCAGTCTTGAGTCCCAGTATCAAGTCCCGAGTCCCAGGTCCCAGTCCTGAGTCCCAAGTCCCAGTCCTGAGTCCCAGGTTCTAGACCCAAATGCCATTCCGTGTTCTATTAGTGGTTCCAGCCACTTGTACAATGTGCAGGAATACTCTAGAAGAGTACTTTTCGATTGTACCATGATTGTCTGGTGATTGTACCATGATTGTAGAGGCCAGGTGAGCTAGTTAAGTAGATTGGGATAGGAAGTTCCTGGTAGATAACAGTTATGGGTTGAAGAGACTGTCCTTAGGAGGGACCACAAACTTCAGCCAGGATCACCAGAGCCGTTAGGCCATGTGTCAGTCGATTCACGCAAGCAGCCAACTCAAGAAAGTCCTCGAGCTTCCAGAAGCAGGGAACAAAAGCAAGAGGGCCGACCCATAACCAGCAGAAGATGTCTGGAAGGTGGATCAGCAAGTCTAAAAGCTCAGCAGCACCAGCCAAGGGGATCAACAACTATTCATGTGCAAATTGCGGAAGCGCTGCGGGTTGCTTGTGCGACAGTGCGACGTGGATGGGAGGGGCCACTGGCGGAGGAGCAAGTGCCCAGCGAGGAAGGAGACCTCTGATTACCATAGCTAGGGAGGAGGAAGAAGACGGCCATAGCCGCAGAGGTTTGGAGGAGTACATCGCAGCTGTATTCAGAGTGGAGCCATGAGGGAGAGGGAGAGCGTGAGCGTGACAGGGAGGTTGAGCGATACGCCATGTGTGTGTGTGTGTGTGTGTGTGTGTGTGTGTGTGTGTGAGAGAGAGAGAGAGAGAGAGAGAGAGAGAGAGAGAGAGAGAGAGAGAGAGAGAGAGAGAGCAGTTACATACCTGATTCGTAACTTGGTTGGTGTGTGGCAGGTGCCGTGGGAGGATACCAACAATTTCTTTGTATGATACAATAATTCGGTGTGGATTTCGGTGAGCGACTTTGGTTTCATCTCTCGGTGTCCAGTGTGACTTCGCACATGAATGTTCTACTGCGCGTGGTGTGTGATTGCATTGCATGCTGATTGGGACATTAATCATTGCAATAGTGCAGAAGTATTATAAGTTTTTTTTTTTTTTTTTTTTTTTTTTTTAAACACAGATCCATTCATTCATTACGAATAACGTAGTAGAGCGCAGGGACCTCACAATTCCACCCGGAGTACTGACAGCATCTCAGCCAGCTTAGCTCACAGTCTTTCTTTCACCTGCTGATGTCAACAGTAAATGTACTATTGACTTGTTGACTTCCAATACTGAAGTTGTAATAGTATATCCACTTAGTGAATTCTCGACGGATCAGATTTTGCTTTTAAAGTTTAAAGTTTGAAGTTTAAGCACTACCGTCTTCACCGGAATAGAACGCCCGGTCATTATCGCGGCATCTGGACTGAAAGTTGGGCCAAATGCAGCTATAATGACCGGGCGTTCCATTCGGGTGAAGACGGTAGCTTGAGAAGGGAATGGATACAGCGACTACCAGACAGCTGAAGTAGTGACTACCGTCTTCGACTGAATACAACGTACGGTCATTATAGCTGAATTTAGACTGAAAGATACACCGTACGTTGTACTCGGGGGAAGACGGTATGGGAGTTCAACAAGTTTTTTGAAATTGAAGTGAGAAGAACAGTTGGGCTAACCTACCTACCATCTTCACCCGAATATTTTTGTTTTTTCTTTTTCTTTCCCCGTCTGAGACCACAGCCAACCCCTGTAGTTATGACACCCGGCCTGACACCACGGCTGTTGGTACTTTCATTGCTCTTTCGAACTCGACGCCTGTTTCCTTTGCCTGCGCGTGTTTTGTTGTTTTTTTTTTACTCAAAGTGACATCAACGTACTTGCCCCAAGATTATATTTGGAAAAAATAAAAAAAGGATTCTATTTGCAAGTTCAGAAAAAAAGGACAAAGGTTATTCTTGGCTCGCTGGAAGGACAACCCTGAAGATAGAACTGGTGAGACGGAGAGAACACGTTTCTCCTACTTGGAAGGAGCCCCTTTCC